TGTGTTTGTTTGTTTGTGTTTGTCGGTGTTTGTTTGTGTTTGTTTGTGTTTGTTTGTGTTTGTCGGTGTTTGTTGGTGTTTGTTGGTGTTTGTTTGTGTTTGTTTGTGTTTGTCGGTGTTTGTTGGTGTTTGTCGGTGTTTGTCGGCGTTGAAACGGTGTGCGGTGAGTAATTAGCCGTGGCGCGTCAGCGCGGCTTTGGGATGCAAATGCGTCTCTGCGTCTTTGGGACTCGCACACAGAAGTTAACGCGGCGTGAAGACTAAGTGTGAAGTAATGGACTCACTCTGAGGCGACGGAAAACACACAAAAGGACACATTTACACACACTCACAATCAGAGGACGACGGGGACGAGGGGGACGAGGGGGACGAGGGGGACGAGGGGGACGAGGGGGACGAGGGACAGAACACCCCCCAGACAATCACCAGGCCACACCAGGAGAGCTGGGGTGAGGAGGATGAAGAGAGTGAGGAGGAGGAGGAGGAGAGAAAGAGAGAAGGAAAGGAGAAAAAACAGACTTAAAAAAATTCACCACGAGAGCAAGAGAGAGGAGGGAAAGAGAGAAAGTTCAAATCAACTCTGACAGAATCATTTTTAACATTTTCTCAGAGTTTCTCTGAGTCACTCTGTTCTAGAGTTAATTTAACACTTGTTTAAATGTTCATGAAGTAAAACTGGACCAAAGCTCCTCTTTAACCCCAAATCCAGAGTTAAATGAAGGTTTAGAGAGTAAACAGATAACACTTTGTAGAGTTATCCTGATTTAACTCAACAACACACAGAGGAGTTTTATTTTTACACTTTATTTGAGTTAATTTAAGATGAAATTATAAACAAATTAACACTAAGAGAAGTTGAATTAACTTCAGCCACATAAACTTTGGCCAATAAGCCCAACTCCAACACACATTTAACTTTCAAAGAGTTAAAATAAAACACTTTTGGTGTTAAAAACAAAATATTTTACCCTGAAATTTTAACCCTCCAGGTTTTTCTGTGTAACGAAGAGAAATAGACCAAAAAAAAATCACACACGCAGAGAAACGAGTAAAGAATAAAAACACGACGACAAACCAGGAGAGAAGAGAAAAGAGAAGAGAGAAGAGGAGGAGGTAACACTTTATAATAACTACACCTTACTTACTTAGCCTTAATAAATCATGAACAAAGATTTAATTAATAATGATTCACGCTTAGTAAATGCTTAATAAAGCATAATTCATCTTCACTTTAGAAAAGCTCTCAAAAAGACTTAACAGAGAACAGCTGCCTGAATGATCATTGTGTTACATTATTAGTAAATCATTCTCTCATAGTTTACTAATGATTAATAAATGCTCAAATGGTTAGTTCATGAGTAATTAAGTATGAAATAATTATGAGTAACTATTTACAGCACAGGCACATTAAGTGCAAGTGCTAATTAAGGTAGTAATAAAGTAGTTACTAAGTGTGAATCATTATTAATTAAGTCTTTGTTCATTCTTAATTAAGTCTTTGTTCATGCTTTATTAAGGCTAAATAAGGTGTAGTTATTATAAAGTGTTACTGAGGAGGAGAGACGCAGGCAAACAAACCCGGCACATTCCACAAGAGAGAAGAGAGGGAGGAGGAGGAGGAGGAGGAGGAGGAGGAGGAGGAGGGAGGAGGAGGAGGAGGAGGAGGAGGAGGAGGAGGAGGAGGAGGAGGAGGAGGAGGAGGAGGAGGAGGGAGGAGGAGGAGGAGGAGGAGGAGGAGGAGGAGGAGGAGGAGGAGGAGGAGGAGGAGGAGGGTCATTGAGACGAGGGGATGAATGGAGCCTCTTTATGAACAAGTGAAAGAGAAAAAGACTTAATGGACTTGGGAGCAGATTAAACTCCATCAGGGACACAAAATGGCCTCCAGAACTTCAGAACAACAGAACAACAGAACAACAGAACAACAGAACAACAGAACACCAGAACAACACCACCACCACCAGCAGCAGCAGCAGCAGCAGCAGCAGCAGCAACAGATCTTTACAACAAGATACTTTTTTACCCAGGTCTGTGTTGGAAAATTTATCAGCAGAAAAAATCCTCATTTATTGTGAGTTTGAGAGTTTGAGTCTTTGTCCAAACTGCAGATCATCTCAGCGACTCCGACTCTGTCACCGCAAACGTCTCGGACCTGGACAAGATCTTTAGAACTTCTCTCAGGTTCTTCATGTTGTTTTCAGATTTATTCTCTCCTCACTCGTTCTGAGACGCTTCGTTTTCATCTAGAGTCGTTTATTTGAGGAGAACTCGTCCAAGTAAAACGATCTTGCTGCGTGGACACAACATTTCATGACTTTAACTCATTTTCTGGCAGATTTAAGAGTTTAGGTTTGAGATTTTGGCCGAGCGTTTCTGCCCGGTTCCTCCCTCCTCCTCCTCCTCCTCCCTCTGTCTGTCCGTCTGTGGGTGTGGGCAGATCCCAGCCCCTTGAAAAGCTCCTAATGGGTCAATTAGTGCATGACCGATGCCCACCTGTCCTCCA